AGCTTGGCAGAAATTTAGTTATTGTCTTTATATAAATGTGGCAAAATAAATCACTTAGCGTGAGTAACCAAACGTGGATGAGTAAAAACGGTACTCGGCCTTTAAGAGACAGAATAAAACATTTTAATTGCAATTTTTTTTAATTTACCATACCTGTACTAAGAATCAAACTATAACAGAACATAAGCACACAACACCATAAATGTTTCTGTCATTGACCTGATAAACAAATTAAGTACATGACTGGTTTTGTGACAAAGTCAGTTGCAGGTGCTCAGACATTGTTCATAACAGACAATCTGGATGGTATGAAGGAAGGCCAACATTGTCAAATATCTGGTTGCATAACAATATAATTTAGTGGTAAAGACTTTAGGGCAACATTATATTTATTGTTATGTCTTTTTTCTCTTCCAAAGAAAAATAATAAATGGAACTTATTTTTATAATAAACGATCTCGTACTTGATGAACGCCAAAATGAAGTAATATTGTAAAAGGAAGTAAACAGTTGGAGTAATATCTACTTGATTTTCAAATAATGGAATATTGACCACAGGGAAGTGTCTTTATGTTTGTTAACCAAATAATGGTTGGCATCGTAACAGGAAGAACCCACCTTGTTTACTGTTCATGAATATATGACATGGCTAAAGGACTGCAAAACAATTTTCTTTTTGGTAATTAAGTATTTCTTTTCTCATGCATTGTTTGTACATTTCACATTTTCTATTGTTAATGAAAACATATTTTGCGAATTCCTTTGCAAGCATTTTCTTGTTTTGAATGAATATAGATGTTACCTTCCTCAGATAAATGTTGGACTGGAATTCCTATAATTTTGTCTTAGAATAGGGCAAAGACTTTGTCATTAAGCAATGACTAAGATTTATCATTAACAGTGACTTCGAGCTTTGTCATTCGCCAGTGACTAAGTGACTTAAGACTTTCTCATTAACTAGTGGCATAAGACTTTGTCATTAAACAGTGAATTAAGATTTTTTCATTATTCAGTGGCTAATATTTTATTAACATGCGACTGCGAACTTTCACGTCAATCGGCGACTAAAGACTTTCTTATTAACCAATGTCTTACGTCTTTCTCATTAACCAATGACTTAAGACTTTCTCATTAACTTGTGACTTAAGAATTTCTCATTAACAATTGGCTACAACTCTCATTAACTGGGGACTCAAAACTTTTTCATTAACCAGTGACATAAGACTTTCTTACTAACCAATGACTAAGACTTTCTCAATAACCAATAGCTAAGACTTTCTCATTAACAAATAGCTAAGACTTTCTCATGAACCACTGCAATGTTGTAGATATCTGATTGATATTAACAGGTTCCAATGTATTTAATGCTATTTTCATGGCATGGTAAAAATCATCAAATTAAATTATTATACAAGGTAACTCGTTATATGTCTCAGTAAAAGCTTATTATTTTATTAATATACAATGGTTTTAATGTGTTTAATAACGATTTTACAATACTCCTTTATTGGATTTTAGGACTGTCAGGTCATTGGAAATTGGTTCAAATAGTGTTCATTTTTTTATTTCACGGTCTGACTAGGACAAGGTCATTGTCGATTGTCTTTCTGTTACAGTAATTATTCCTTTAACTTGTATTGTATCATTTTGTATTCACTGCATAATTCGAGTTTGGTTCTTTTCCGAAATATTCTGTTTGTTTACGAAACACGTATTGTTCATTACGTCTATATAAAAGAAAGCGTTTGTCATAGAGTTTAGGGTTTCTGTGCTTAGTTTAGTTTTCAGCATTATGAACCTACTTGACAAGTTAAATATGATTAAACCATGGATTATTGGTTTTAAACCAAGCTATAAGTACAGTTTTAAATTTCTGTAATGGATGATATAGCTGGTTCTCAAGTACGGGGAATGTAATAAGTTTTATGTTATTGGTTTATAACCATGTTATTTGTTTAATAATTTTTCTTGTACACATTGCTTCAGGTGGCAAAGTATAGTCTTGCACATGTTCAGGTATTTGGGTATCTTATTATATGATGTAGCTATCTGTTCAATAATTCTTTCACTTCATATATTTGCGCTCATTTGACCAGTAGCATAATTTCTAATGAAACAAAAAGTTGGCGGTTATTGACATATAGTCCAGCCTTATAAATCATGTTCCTTACAAAATTAAACATTCTTTTGGTTTTGTTATGTAATATTTTCCATCATGTTTTTAACTGTTTAGGGAAAAATGTAATATTTTGCATCGGTTTCAACATATTTGTTTGAGATCATCGAAATACCGCAACGGATAACCGATTCTATCATTAAATAAATACTAAAATGTTAATCCATTACGATGTAAAAGCGGATACACTGAAGAAAAAAATCATTAGACATGTATATGCCATATTTTTTCAATCAATAAGGTACGCCCAGCATGGGTACATTTAGATTTACTTGCGCACTGTGAGCTGGCAGATCAGAGACTCTAGCAAAGACATGCCCAGGCTTTATCTGAGCAGAAATTATCGTATACCAGTCTAGGAAAAATACGGCCAGACTGGGTTCACTTGAATTGGAAAAGTTAATTATGTTATCACTCTTAGTTTTTGTGTGAATCTACACACAATGCAGCAGAATATAAATGGTAATTATTGACATTAGCGTAGGAAATATGCTACTTATATCTGTTCCACAGTTTAGCTAACCACTGTTTTAACATAAAATAAAAAGAAAGTTTGCTTGTGCAAACGAATAATGAACATATTGAAGTTCACTCACTCAATGAAATATATACGTTATTTAGTTAATACAAGCAAATGCCCTATATACAGTTGTATATTACTTAAAAAATGATGCTAAGCTATATATATATATATATATATATATATATATATATATATATATATATATATATATATATATATATATATATATAACGGTATATCACATCATTCTTCTTGATCAACGCTTATAGCGTTGTATAGTAAGCAGAAATTTGGGTCGCCTATTCTTCGCTTTACTTTTTGTCCTATTTTTTAAATTTTATTTTCCGGCCTTGGTTAGGCTTCTAAGTGCTTTGCGATCAAGGCCGAAGCGACCGGGTAACCTAGGTTACGCTAGTACATTATGCGACGGAAAATATGATTCAATTTGCGATGCAGTTGGAAGCGCATGATACTCGGGTAGATTCTGCAAATGCATATTCCCGAATGATTGTTTAATAGAGAAATGCCAAATGAAAACTTTGTATATTATTTCAACAGATTTTTCTGCCATTTATGTAATATTTGTGATGGAATGAACTTAAACCCAGTAAAACCTTATCAGACTATCTATTTAAATGCTATACTTTGTAGACCTGCTACGATAGTTGTGTGTGTGTGTGTGTGTGTTTGTATGTGCGTGCTTTGGATTTTTAAGGCAGCTTCAAGAAACGTTTCAGTCTTATCGTTACGATGTATACAGTTTGACAGTATAGTGATATCTAGCACTGAGATATCAAGTATAGTGATATCTAGCACTGAGATGTACAGTCAGTTAGCATCATGTCCTACCCAGTCACACTATCCTGACACCAGGTCCACTAGTCCTAACAATGCTGAACGCCAAGCAAGGCACCTGCCAGTACCATTTTTATAAGTCTTTGATATGACTCGGCCGGGGTTTCGTACCCGCGACCTCCAGCATTCGAGGTGGATGCTCTAACCACTTAGGTTGCTGTAGCAATGATACGATAGTTAAACAATTAAGTTAATAATTAACGGCGTAAACCTTGATCTGCCGCCTTATAGTATATGGATAGATCTGGTTCTGTGCTGTTCGTTTTACGTTTGCTTTCAAACGTGTATTCTATGGCAGCATGATAGAGCTAACTTTATGTACTAAAGTGTTAATAAACATTTTCCCTATTTTTCATTATTATATATTTCATGTGCTAAATTATATCCGTAAAAATTTAAGTCATGAAAATACAAAATATCAATAATTAGAATTATTACAATTCTATTGCTTTTCACATGTTTTTTTCTTACCTCAGAGACCGAACAATTTAAATGAACAGTTCTAGAACTACATTATTTGTTTAAGTATATAATTTCCAAAGCACGTTGGTTTTCATAAACTGAACATCGGTTTGTTGATATGTTGACATTGTAAATAATTACATTTGATGTCTTCTTGAAAAAGTTGAAACACGTGTAATCTTGCTTTTCATGAATGGTCATTCATTTATTAAGATTGTGTAGTATAACTTTTACTTGTCGAAAGCTGCTGGTTTCCAACTTGAATTTTCTGAGTACGTGAGAACTTTACAAATTCATCTTTTGAACTTTAGATAGAACTTCAGGAATGAAATGGCTTATATACTATGTCTATTAACATTTATGTATTGGCATTAGAAGCATTGGTCTAATCGTGCTCTTCTATCACACATGGCCTCGTGTAATGTTTGGTGATAAACTGCATGAATTGGGATAGCATGATGAAAATCCTTATCAAGCAGTGATCGTGGTCTTTGAAAAAATAAAATGTTACGTGTATGTTTTCATCTTCAGCTTTGCACGGACGATAATGCATCTAAAACTCAAAGTTGGTAATATAAAGAAAGATATAGCAGTGTAACTTTGAACATTTCTATGGGGCAGAACTGGTTTGATTTGGTTTGTGTTTTAATGGATAGCAACACAAGTAGATTATTCGGTGTCGACGCAGTGCGCTATGGTAGCAGTCTCGAGCTGGTCTGAGAGTAGGATTTGAACCTGCACCCTTTAAGTCATTCTAACCACCCTTAGTCCCTTTTTACGGGATCAATGATTGCAATATCCGAACAAATGATGCGCTCTTCCGGTCTCAAATGATCTTTATGTTTTCCTATGAAGTCTCTCTACCTTTGTTTCTTAGTACTGAACTGTCCACTGTCCAAACCATCAAATATAATATGTTAGTCTAAAATACCTTTAAAGATGAAATCACAGCGATGTTCATGTCATGGGTTATCTGACAGAAGCTGACTCCGATGGCCTAGTGGTTAGAGCGTCCGCCTCGGATGTGGAAGGTTGCGGGTTCGTAATCCGGTAGAGTCATGATACTGGCAGCTGCCTCTCTTGGCTCTCAGCATTAAGAGGTTAGTGTTAGGACTGGTCGTATCGTGTCTGGAAAATGTGACTGGGTGGGACATCATGCCACATGTCAGCAGCATGATGCCCCAGTGCTAAAATATCACTAAAAACTGTCATACTGCAAACATCGTAGCTATATGACTGAAAAATGGGTAAAGCTACGTCAAAAATCTCTTTCTCTCTCACCCCCTTCTCTCTCTCTCTCTCTCTCTCTCTCTCTCTCTCTCTCTCTCTCTCTCTTTCTCTCTCTCTCTCTCTCTCTCTCTCTCTCTCTCTCTCTCTCTCTCTCTCACACACACACACACACAGATGCTGAATTGTTAACAAATCACCGTTCAGTGGGTTGCAAATTTCACTTCCTGATCAACATTAAATCCTCACTTTATACTGTGCACTGTCGCCGAAATCCATACGAAAAATGGCACAATAATGATCATATTCTAAAGAATAAATATTTAAATGTAAATCAGTGCCAAGAGTACCTAAATATATCTCTTGTATCACCACACCAAAATGATGGAGGAATAAGATGCTGTAAAAGACTGGAACTACATTCGTTGTAAGATCTAAAAGACTGGGACCTCATTCCCGAATACTAAACCGTAATTAATGATTGTGACCGGCGTCCTTCTCTGTGTGGTAAGAGACAACGTTGGAGACTGATTCAACGGCGTACAGTTTGTCAGAAATATTGATAAGCACTAATATCGTCTTTTCATTCATGAATTTATAGTTTTTAATGTTTAGTAATTTGATTTTGGTCTGTTTGTTTTAACCAAATTACATGCACAACGAACACAACACTCTTGTACACCAATCATGGATATCTAGGACATACAACGCCGAATATTAGGTAGGTGGGTGTATTTTGAATCACAATGTAAGTCTTCTATGATTTCACATTTTTCAAAAGTGTGGTTATGTGACACTCACCACCTGTTATGAAATCGCTTATTTAACTGCCGACCTGGTTTGTTGCTCTGACATTTATAAGGTTTGAAAGAGGATAACTGCGTTTTGAAAAGGTGATTTCCCTTTTGCCACATTTGAAATCTCTGTAAAAAAAAAATATTTGAATAATATACCAAAAATCCGAACAAAAATGCCACTTGTACTGATAAATAGACTATTTCGCGAACATATAAAATGCCATGATAGAAAGTTATTAGGAGTGAGGAACCAACATTTTATTTTGCTGGAAATATATTTTTGTGAGGTCATTTTAACCAATATTGTTTCGAATTTTGGTATTTCCTCGTGAGCGAACGTTGGAAAATAAAGAACAACGGTACCCTGTAATTCTTTTCTTGAACAACTTAAACGTTTGAGCCAATTATATTTATATGTGCTAAACTTTAAGACGACTTATTGGTTTTAAGATTCAAGATAGCATGTCAAAAGTTAGATTTTTTCTCCAAACTAAAACTATTGCATAGTAGCGCAAAGCTTGCTGTTGTTAAAAAATTAAATATCACAGTATTTTATTTTTCTTTCGTTTTTCCGAATGAGGTTATTCAAGTTCTCATAAGGTGATGACCGACTGCAACTAGTATGAGGATTATGATTGAGACTTGTTCAGTTGAAGAAATTCGTTTGCTCTGTATTCTATCTTAAGAAGTTTAAATTAGCGGTTCTCTGTTGTTTTATTAAATCTAGAGTTGAAGATTAGATGCATAAGAAATTTACTCTGGAGATGAAAGAATCTCAACGTTTTTCTCGGTTTAAATAAAATGTGTCTGAGTATTCCAGACACTTTTATAACCATTTTATCCTGAGATCTAGTTTTGAACAGAACAATATACTAAATCAACAGAGTACGAGAAAGTTCCAGCCAGTTTGCATCTTTATATCTCGACCACAATGATATTTTCAAAAGTTTCCACGACCAAAACGAGGAATTTAACTAATTTCCATGAAAATTACATATCCTTGTCAAGCCATCAAATTCTAGCTGCATATGATCGTGCAAGATAAGTTATGTTTTTTTTTAAATTTAAATTTATTTAAAACGTTTTTACCATGTTCCTAAGGTGTTTTACAGCTGGTAGGATCCAATCGTCCTTAATAATGCAAACTGGTAATATACCAAACTGCAGATAAATGAGATGGGGGATATAAATAATTCTTGTATTATTTGTGTGCTTGGAAATATATCTTTTATTTGGCATTTTACATTACCTGTAATCATTAAGCTTAAGAACGACATGAGAGCTATGATGCAAGATTAACAAAGTGAATGGAGGTTCATTTTTCGCTCTTTTGGGAATACTTGAAATATGATTTTAACTTTTGCAAACAGCAACAAAAGAAAAAGTGATTATATTTCATTTCAGGTATCTTTTTTGCATGTCCAAAAAACATTTTAATTATAGAAGCGAATACTATATATATATATATATATATATATATATATATATATATATATATATATATATATATATATATATATATATATATATATATATATATATATATATATATATAAAGAATACAAATCATATGGCGAATAACAACCCTCTCAAGCGTACTGGATCCACCAAGGGATCACGTCTGTCAGGGATTAATTAAAATAGATGCAATAAACTGACGACGAACAGTACGAAACTAGTAACTAACTAGCCTAAGCGCTTTCGACTCCCAATGAGTCTTTTTCAAAGGCAAATACAAAACATAGTTACGACAAACAAATAAACACAAAAACGTTGCGTTTGTAAACCTCTACATTTCTATCTTCACATGTGCTAAAACTATACAAGCTGGTTGTATTTATAGTTTTAGCACATGTGAAGATAGAAATGTAGAGGTTTACAAACGCAACGTTTTTGTGTTTATTTGTTTGTCGTAACTATGTTTTGTATTTGCCTTTGAAAAAGACTCATTGGGAGTCGAAAGCGCTTAGGCTAGTTAGTTACTAGTTTCGTACTGTTCGTCGTCAGTTTATTGCATCTATATATATATATATATATATATATATATATATATATATATATATATATATATATATATATATATATATATATATATATATATATATATATATATATATATATATATATATACACACACACACACACACACACACACACACACACACACACACAAATCTTATGGCGAATAACAGTCCTTTCAGTCCTAGCAAGAATCACGACGTGTGTCAGGGATTGATTAAAATAATGCAATAAACTAACAACGAACAGTCCAAAAGTAGTATCTAACTAGCCTGAGCACTTTGGACTCTTAATGAGTCTTTTTCAAAGGCATGTTATAAACATAGACAAGACACACAAATAAAAGAGAAAAACCGTAGTGTTTGCAAAACTTTACATAGCTGTTTCTACAAGAATTAAAATTTTAATGTGTTATGTTTCAACCAGTTGATATCAAGTTGTTGCGGATACTGGAAAATATTTGTATAAAGCTATAAATAGATATTCCATAACAATATCTGTTATTTTGTGTACATTTATGATAGTGTAAATTATATCTAGGATATTTCATTGTTATATTAGTAATTGTAGACTATTAAGCAAGTTTAGAAATTTGCATGGCTGACTTTTTCTAGTCTTTTTGGTTTAAACCGCTTGGTTTCAAGCAGAGGTGTTGTTTTGTACATAAACCATGCAGTGTATGTGTGCTGTTTGTCAGCACACCATTATTCGTACGGGTACAGTTTTCTCATTACACCATTTTTCATAGACGTACCATTTGTCATACCATTCTTTACAGACGTGCTGTTTTGTCAGAACGACATGCTTAACAGATGTGCTGTTTTGTCGTTACTCCAAACTTAGTAGACATGCTGTTTTGTCAGCACACCATCCTTAATAGACGTGCTGTTTTGTCATCTCACCCTGATTAAGAGAGTGCTGTTTTGTTAGTACACCATGCTTAATAGAATGCTGTTTTATTAGCATACGATGCTTAATAGAGCGCTGCTTTGTCAGCACACAATAATTAGTAGTGTTGTTTTGTCTGCAGACCAAGCTTAGTTGCGTTCTTTTTGTCATTACATCAAGTTTAGTAAACGTGCTAATTTTGTCATTCCACCATGCATTATAGAAGTGTGTCTTTGTCAGTACACATAATAAGTAGACGTTCTATTTTGCCAGTAAACCATGCCTAATGGACGATTTGTTTTGTCAGTACACCTATATTTGTAAACGTGCTGTTTTGTGATTGCACTAAGCTTAGTAGAAGTGCTTTTTTGCCTTTACACCATGCTTAGTATCATTCTATTTTGTTAGTACACCATGCATTGTAGACGTGCTGTTTTGTCATTACACCCTGCATAACAGACGTGCTGCTTTGTTAGTTCAGTAAGCCATGCTTTGAGACAAGTGCAGTTTGGTCATTATGCCAATATTAGTAGTCGTGCTGTTTTGTTAGCATATCATGCTTAATAGTGGTGCTGTTTTGTCTGTACACAATGCTTAATAGTGGTGCTGTTTTGTCTGTACACAATGCTTGATAGAGTTCTGTTTTGTCTGTACACAATGCTTGATAGAGTTCTGTTTTGTCTGTACACAATGTTTGATAGAGTTCTGTTTTGTCTGTACACAATGTTTGATAGAGTTCTGTTTTGTCTGTACACAATGCTTGATAGAGTTCTGTTTTGTCTGTACACAATGCTTGATAGAGTTCTGTTTTGTCTGTACACAATGCTTGATAGAGTTCTGTTTTGTCTGTACACAATGCTTGATAGAGTTCTGTTTTGTCTGTACACAATGCTTGATAGAGTTCTGTTTTGTCTGTACACAATGCTTGATAGAGTTCTGTTTTGTCTGTACACAATGCTTGATAGAGTTCTGTTTTGTCTGTACACAATGCTTGATAGAGTTCTGTTTTGTCAGCAGACAATGTTTTGTAGACTTACTGTTTCGTCAGAACATCATGATTGGTAGACATTTTGTTTTGTCGGTGCACCAGGCTTAGTAAACAAGCGATTTTGTCAGTACAACATTACAT